CAGTGGTGCTGCTCACCTGTGCCACCCATGTGTGCCCAGCAGTGCCGCCCACCTGTACCGATCAGTGCCACTCACCTGTGCCCTGAAGTGCCACCCACCTGTGCCACTCAGCAGTGCCACCCACCTGTGCCACTCAACAGTACCACCCAACTGTGCCACTCAGCAGTGTCACTCACCTATGCCCTGCAGTGCCACCCACCTGTGCCCAGCAGTGCCAACTATCAGTGTAGCATCATCAGTGCCAGCTCATCAGTGCCCATGAGTGCTGCCTACCCATGCCACCTCATCAGTGCCCATCAGTGCTGCCTATCCATGCCTATCCGGTCTGCCTATCAGTGCAGCCTCATCAATGCACATCAGTGAAGGAGAAATACTACCTGTTTGCAAAATGTTATAATAGATACAAAGAAAAAACTTTTTTTTTTTTCAAATTTTTTGCTCTTTTTTTTGTTTATAGCGCAAAAAAAAAATAAAACACCCAATGGCGATTAAATACTACCAAAAGAAAGCTATCTTTGTGTGAAAAAAATTATACAAATTTCATATGGGTACAATGTTGCATGACTGCGCAATTGTCATTCAAAGTGCAAAAGCTCTGTAAGCTGATAATTGGCTGGGCAGGAAGGGGGTATATGTGCCCAGTAGGCAAGTGGTTAAGCACTCATTGGCAGCATCTGCATCATATGATGCAGGATTATCTAGGGGCAAGAGGAAACTTTGAGATCTTTCAAATATTCAGTGCTGCTGGAGGTTTTGTGACAGATAAAAGATTGCATCTGTCCACAGACTCCATTGACCGGCTGACATTTATCAAAATGAATCAGTCTGGGATTCAAACAGCAGCTATCAAGCCCCCCCCGATGCTGATGTAACTGATTAAATTTGTTAGGGATCTTGGGTACCATGAAGATTGTCTATGCTGCCTATCCTATTCCTGAATTCTGATTATGCTAGCTTTCATCAATGTTTTTGGTTCAGGGCACCACCAACACCCAAGGTCTAATTTTTCTGCACCTGTTTGACAGGTGCATGTAATTTAAATTTTTTGCAATTTTTCTCTTATTTTTAACAATTGTTAACAGCAGGCCCCATTCCTGCACCCAGCAAAAGTAACTGTGAGAGGTTACAATGTTCAGGCACCACCAACACTCAAAGCTCAATTTTTCTGCACCTGCGTGACAGGTGTATATAATTGGAATTGTTAAGCGGGGTCCAATCCCACACTCATCAAGAATAAGGCTACGTTCACACTAGCGTTGTGTGCAGGCGGCAGAGAGGCTTTGGGAAGCATTTTTACCGCTTCCCAAATGCCTCTGACAATTCTGCACATTGCAGCACATGGTGCTGTTCTAACGGGAGCGTTAGCGTCACGGCAAAATGGACGCCTCTGGTAGAGTCAGGAGGCGTTGAAGCCTCCTAGTCTAGTCTATGGTGCCGCTCCACAAACGCCCGGCCGGCGTTTGCGGTGCGGTGCTGTTTGCGATGCATTTGCAGAGCGGTAACACCATTCAAACTTCATTATAGGCGTTTGTGGGGCGTTGTTAACGCTTGGCAAATGCCTAGCAACCGCCACTAAACTGCGCATGTGGCGTTTGCAGAGCGTTTGCCAAGCATTAAAAAAACACTCCGCAAACGCCAGACCAACGCTTGCCAAACGCTATAGAGACGTTTGGTAAAACAGTCAAGTGCGAACGAGCCCTAACTCTGAAGGGTTACGGTGTGAAGGCATCACCAACATTTCACCTGCCAAACACCCCACAATGCACTGATCTCTCAGTGCACAGTCCCCCACCCCACACTATGGTGTACGTTTATTAAGTAGAGATCATTTATCTCATTTCAGTTCTCTGAAGTTCTCAGGGAAAATCTTCTCTGTCCTCCTGTTTATGAAGCGCAGAACATTTGTTCTCAGAAGGAGAAGAGAGGAGACGTTTTTCCTTTGAGAACAGCTGAGATCTGTGGGGGAGAGCTGCCTGTGATCTTGTGAGATAATTGTGTGAATACAGATCACCTGAGTTTAAACAATGAATCCAAAGTTAAAAAGACCATGCAATTACATGTAAATAATAAGCACCTGATCACTTGTATGTTTTAACGCACATTTTGGCACATTCTTTAAATGTGTATTTTTGTTCCTTTGTATTGTGCATTTTAGCATTATTTTATGTGCATTTTGACGTTTTTTAACATGCCTTATTTTTTTTAACATGCATTTTGATGTGGGATTTTTTAATGTGCATTTTGGCACTTTTCTAAACATACATTTAGGCGCTTTAATGCATATTTTGGCACAGGTTATTTTAACATTTTGGTGTGGTTTGTAATGAACATTTTGGTACTTTCTTAGCATGTATTTTGGCACTTTATTAAAGTGCATTTTGATTTGTTTTTATGCATATTTAGGCAAACTACACATCTGCTAGCCACTTCTGGGTGCCATTAACAAATAATGGCACTACATACATTTCCAGACACACACAAAAAAAAGAGCCAAAATACATATTAAAAAAGCACCAAAATGCACATAAAAATTTCAACTCACTTTTTTTTTTAAATGTTTGTTGAAAAAAGCAGTAAAATGTATGTTAAAGACTGCACCAAAATATGCATTAAAAAGGGCCAAAAAAGCCAAATTGAACCTTTTCTGGGCATGGAGCGTTGTGTGTTTTTTCAATGCGCATTTTGGTGCGTTGATAACCTATTTATCAAATGACAAAATGTGCAGCAAATGCATTTTGGGAGCCATTAACAATAAATGTCACTCAAAAGCGCACTGTGTATTTTAACGCAATTTTAGCACAATTTGGAATTGTGGCAAGAATTGTGCAATTCTGCCAACAATTCTACATTGCTCAGGTGTGAATGCGTTCTAAACAACAATAAACTATAACTATACTGTGTGTGTGTGTATGTATACATATATATATATATACTGTACACTATATATAAAACACAAATATACATATATAAACATATATAGTTATAATTTCTAGCAATGTTTAATCCCGCTGGTGCTGATATTAGGAAGAAAGAAGCCTTTTTCCTCACATCACAGCAGCTTCTCACCAAGATTCTCCAGCTCCGGGCTGGAGAATCTCGGACAGAGATATTTTAAAGAGATGGCCAGTGAGATCTTCATCTTCATAAACTGGTGATCTCTGTAAAAGTTCATGACAGAAGGGTGTGTCCTGTAATGAGAAGAAAATGTTCTCCGCTTCATGAACTGGCACACCTGAGAGATTAGCAGTGATCATCAGGATTTCGGCTTTTCTCTCTTTCATAAACGGACACCTATGTAAGACAGAGGGGAGAATACTCTCCCCGAAAAAAAAAAAAAAAATATATTAAAAAAAAATACATGAAAACAAACAGCTTGAGGTCCCTCCCTTAATCCTTACCAGGTACGTGGCGTCCCCCCTAAAAGACTTACCAGACCCTTTAAGAGGAACCCCACCTCCCACAAATGGGGGGAAAAAAGTGTGGGTGGCCCCTTAAAATCCCTATCAGGCCCTTTAGGCCCAAAGCACCTTGTCCCCATGTTGATGAAGATGTGGGGGGTGACTTATCGGAATCCGGAAGCCCCATTTAAAAAAGGGGCCCCAGATTCCGCCCATATAGTACCCCTACTCATTTACTAAAAAGGTGTAAAAAGTAAGTAAAAACACAACAATAGAGAATGTGGAGGGGAACACGAAGGGAGATTTCCATAGCCAGATATATTTTACATGCATATGCGAATAACGCTAATGTAGCGCTACCACCGCAGGAGCTACTTGGTAGACTGGGTTCTCTGTTCTTCTGCTTCAACTCTGAGAACAACCTCAGTCCCACTGACATAGAAGTAGATATTGCTCTGCTACTGGGAGCACAAACATAGATACCCTGCACACAACTAAGGTTCAGCATCAAAAAGCAGAAATCAGACTGGTTAGTGGTAAATGAACCCAATATATTCTCATGGATTGCAGTATGCACATAAATGAAGAGTAAAGAATTAGGTCAATCACAGTTACAGGCTATTGAAGAAAAGAATGCAGTTCTATGCAGCTAAATTACAATAAACCTGGTAATTCACAAAAGTAGCATTAAAACTGCCATTAGAAAACTGTAACAGCAATGATAATTAATACTGCAATAATTCCTCTGTAAACAGTAGGCTGGATTAGAGTGCAGATGATAAACAAAATTGGAGATGCGTTGCGGAGCATGAGCTTTTCTTCAGGCCATTCTTGGATTAGAGTGCAGTCAGTATGAATGGCAGTGATGAAACTCACTAAAGAGATACCTCTTGCTATGGACAATGGGCAAAGTTCTTGTGAAGTTGCTATATGAGTGAGCAGTCTTTAGCCTTAGTTGTTTAGCCAGCTAGTGATGGAGCCCATTCTTTATGGTGGAGCGCATGAGTACAGTCCCAGTAAAGTCTTCATGCAGTAAATAATGCTGCTAGTTAGATGGCCAATCCCTATATGCTCAGTCACTGCTAACAGCAGCAGGCTATTGTCAGCAATGTCCTCTCACCAATCCCAACGATACAGCAACAGATGTCCCACTGTTCAGCTCACTTATGGATCTGCTTGGAGTGAATCTGGTCCAGCCACAGGCTTGTAGCAGGTTGATGTGAACACAGGAGCAGCAATGTGCAAACCTTGGTCCGCTTGCAGTAATTAAGAAATCCCTTGGTGTTCAGCCTGTGAGAATAAAGCTCTCTCTATCTTTACCCCTTACTCATATTGGGAATTGTTGTTCTAAAGTCCATTGACTCCTAAAGTATTATCATTCCCCTGCACTACATCTTCCATGATTCAATGCTGCCCACTGTCAAATCTCTTGAGCTCCTCCTGCTTGTCAGCTCCCCTGGTGGATGGAGGTGAGGGTGTGTTAACCCATTCAGCCTGAAGTTCAGGGTAGACATGTAAAGCACTGCAGCACAGTGTTCCAAATTCCTCTCCGTCTATAGCCAAGCACCTGACTGCATTAATAATTATTTTATGTATTTGCAGGAACCACATGGCTTCAAGAAATCCTTACCTTAATTTATAGCAATGGAGATCCAACATCAGTAAAAACGGAATTTAGCTGGAACCGTGTCCCATGGATTGAACAACATTCTGGCAGAAAACAAATTGAGAACAGACCATCTCCTCGGCTTATCACAACACATTTACCTAAATATCTATTTCCACAGTCGTTTTACAAGACTAAGGCCAAGGTAAGTTGCAACCAGGGGTGGGACTGACCATTCCGGTGCTCGGGCACTGCCCGAGGTCCCAAGTTCAGTAGGGGGCCCCATGAGATGCCCCTGGTACCTTTCATAGGCTTTTTTGGGTGTGGTTTGAGTGTGGGCAAGGACACAAGGGCCCCATGATCCCCTATTTCCCCAGGGCCCCATGAGTTGTCAGTCCTCCCCTGGTTGTAACCCCACTATGATAACAGTTGAACTATAAACTGATTTCTATGTAATAAAAACAAAGCTTTGGAATCCTTTCTCCATTGTAAGATGAATGAAGTTTAACTCACTGACTTCTATACATAAGGCTGGAGTCGATGGTGGAGATGAGAACAGCAGCAAATCATATTCTCTTTAGTAAACTTCAGAGCAACAAAGTCACCCTGACTACTGATAAGACCTGGATAATGCCCTGAACTTAACCTTACACCCAAAAATGATTTAGGGCTAAGTTCACCTTTTCACAATAAATAGAAGCCTTTTCTAATGTCTTTTCTGTCTGTTATCCCAATGTGCTTATCTCTCACTTACCTAGTCCATGACAGCTGTGATTCTTCACCTTTCGGTTCAAAATTAAAAAATAAGCATTCTGAGCCCATCACTAAAAGGTGAACTTAGTCTTTAATTTAAAAAGGACAAAAGTTCTTTTTTCCATAAACAGATCACTTCAGCACAGTACAATAAATGATTTCTTCCCAAAGTGTTCAGAAACACTTGGAGTTTTAAATTATTACAGCTGCAAGTTTCAGCTTTGTCTGCCCTTCGTCATCAGACTGTGCACTAATAATTTCAGTCAAAGCAACTTGATACCCCTCCTTGAGACTACATACTTAATAGCCCCATTGCGAAAGCATGCCCCATGCCAGCAACTATCAACTATTTATTGAAATATAAGGTGAACATTATATAGTGCATAGAAGTAAGTATTCGGTTCTCGTGTAGGAGAACTGGATAATGAAAACAATAGCACAACATCAGTATGTGCATTTTGAGTGTACAGTGGTATAAAACAATTTTCAAGAGGGCCGGGGGTAAACATAAGTGGCAGGTGCAATGGAAAATAGGAAAAGGGGGTGAAGAAGAAGGGTAAGGTGGAATTTGGGGGGGGGAAAGGAGCAGTAATGAAGAGAAAGCAAAGAGCAAGGCAAAGCTAAGAGGAGAAAAATAAGTCCTGCAGGCTAAGAAGCATCACCTTAGTTGGGGGCGCCCATACTAGTTTGAGGTAGGTTCCGGACTGCATTTGACCACCAGGAGTCCCATAGCTGAAGAAACTTAGGGTGAGCATCATGAAGAATAGTGAATATCTTCTTGTAGATTGTTAGGGTATCTGGCCTCTTTGCAGAAAGGTGTATAGAAGAGGGTCAACAGTAAACCGAAGACCCTCGACCAGAATCCCACCAAGAATGGACAGGACCATCAAGTGTGGATCTTGTCCCCCACACTGGCCACAGTCATCTGCTTGCAGAGGGTCATGTAGGGAAGAGATGTGAATGGGCCACCTGTGTTCAGAAAGGAATAGAGTGTGGAAATGGTACCATGGGCTCCTGGGAAATGGAGACAGGTATGCTCAAAGATTGTTTTCTGGATCAGAAAAGAAGAATTGTGCCTAAGGACAACTATCCAGTGTTGTAGTTGCATGTAGCAGAAGAATTTGAGGTCCAGGATGGGAAGTGATGGGATCCCAAAAAGTGACAGACTTGGGTGAAACTATGGGCGGGCTACCAAGAGAATACTCGAGGCTGTTCCAGCCCCGAGGAGAAAGAGGATTGTTTATTAATGGGAGGAGGGGAAGAAATGGGGGCATCAGTTTGCCAGAGTACCGGACAGAGTCCCAAATATGTAAGCTATTTAACATGAGAGGGCTCAGGGACAGAGGGCATAGCTTGGAGGCAAGCCATAGAAGGGCTGAGGCCGGGGTGGGTGTGCAGTTAGGGACCTCCAGGAACACCCACAGAGAGACATCCAACGTCACATGGAGCATAGTAAGTTGAGAGTTTGTGCCACCATATAATATTTGGAAATATAGCCCTCCTCGCAGCCTGGGACATTTGTGGGCCCAAATGAAAGAGAGAATCCTATTTTGGAGAAGGCGTAAGAAAAAGGTGGGTACTTGAATCAGAAGGGTCTGGAAATAGTACAAAACTTTGGGAATGACTTTCATCTTGACCATATTTATAGGGAGGGAAAGCACCAGGATTCCATGAGGGTGGTGATGGAACGCAAGAGTTGATAATGGTTGCAAAAAGGGAGGAATAGGCAAAAGTTAAGTGGATGCCTAGGTAGTCCAAGAAAGAATTCACCGAACAATATGGGAAAAATGCTTGATCTTGTTTTCTTTTGAAGCATCATGGTTTCTAAAATAATTGAGGTTCTCCTTACTAGCATTAAAGCACTCTCCCTAATAGCATGAGATGTCCACATTATTGCATTTTAAGACTGAGAGTCAATTTGGCGCTATATAAATACTGTATAATAATAATTAGTATCCCTGATATTTAGATACTATATTCAGGTGGCTGGACATCAGCTTGATGCAATAAGGCTAATGTCACACTTGCAATCATGCCACTGGGGAGAACTTGCCAGAGCAGGGGCGGACTGACCATTTGGAAACTCGGGCACTGCCCAAGGGCCCAGGGTCAGTAGGGGGCCCCATGAGATGCCCCTGTTACCTTTTTCATAGGCTTTTTTGAGTTTGGGCAAGGACACAGGGGCCCCATGATCCCCTATTGCCCGGGGGCCCCATGAGTTGTCAGTCCGCCCCTGTGCCAGAGCCAGGATCACTATGGAATTTACAGAAGCTGCTTACATGTTTTGCATCATCATTGGCTAGATGATGTTTAACATCTTTAGTTTATAGAAAGCAATTTGCCTGTAAAGTGCAAATGTGATAACTTTGCAGTAACTTTACATATTACTTTCCTGTCCTAGGTGATCTATACAGTACGCAACCCTAAAGATGTGTGTGTATCTCTCTATCACTTCTCCTTGATTGCACAGTTCATGGAAAATAGGAAAGATTTCCAGGATTTTATCTCTCTGTTTCTCAGCAATGATGGTAAGAATGGCATCTTAAATGATAAATGTAGCTTACTTTCAGTGAGCATATATTTTTAGTTATTATTGTAAAGTAACATTTGGTGTAAATGTTACATACATGCCTACTAATCCATATTTCCTTTTGTGTATTAAAGCCCAATGTTGGGCATTTGTATCACCTGTAACATTCTAACTACATTCTGAATTTTAATGACTTCTACAGTACATCTAGATCACATACATTCTGTTTCATATGTTTGGTTTATGAATTTTACAATTCGCTGTACCCTCTGCTGAGTTCAAAATATCAAAACGTCTTGCAGCTGGAAATGGAAAAGATGCCTCATCTGTGCACCCTATATTAATGTGTAGGTCAGATCCCCAAAAGGGATCCCAAAATATAAGCATTACATTGGTGATATGATGATGATGATTACATTGGTGAATGATATTTAAGTTGTATTTGACAATTTACCAAAACAATATAAAGCTGATATTAAGCAGTTCCAAGAAGCAGAACACCCATAATTGGATGTATAAATTAAAAAATGTTGAATCCATTTTCTTTGGATACTAGATGTACTTGGATAGACATTAGAAACAAAGAATCTATAATTATAAGATACATCCTAAATCCATGAGTTGGAGAGATCCGGCATAAATTTGAATTTACTGGATCTTCCCTGTCTGGAGCAGCCATCAATAAATGGCGGACCGTGGTCCAAAAACGGACCGAGCAATGCTTCCGTCCAGACCGCCAGTCTAGATTGTCAGATGCTCACCATTTAGCAGTCATTGGTTGCTGGGACCACGGGCATCCCAGCAACCAGTGATGTCACATGTGCAACCCACCCCCTGCAGCTCACTGTCTTTCGTCCCGGCTCCAGCTCCCTGCCTTTCCACAGTGTTTTGTGTGATGTCAATTGCGCGCCCCACCCACTTCACCAAGGTGCCCAGTACAGCTCCCACCCCTGCAGCTCAAAGGGTGTGTTTGTACTTACAGGGGCATGCTGATGGGCAAATTTAATGTTCAGGGGCACTCTGATGGGCTCATTTTATGTTGTGCCCATCAGAGTTCATCTTAACATAAAATGTGCCCACCAGCATGCCTCTTAACATAAATTGTGCAAATCAGAGTGTCCCTTAACATAAAATGTACCCATCAGAGTGCCCCATAACATAACATGTGCACATCAGAGTGTCCCTTAGCATAAAATGTGCACATCTAAATGCCCCTAACATAAAATAAGGGGCCCTCTGATGGGTACAGTTAATGTTAAAGGACACTCTGATGGGCACATTTTATGTTAAGGGGGCACTCTGATGGGCACATATGTTAAGGGGGCACTCTGATGGGAACATATTGTGGAAAAAGGGCACTTTGATAGGCATGTGATGGAAAGGGGCACTCTGATGGGGAAAATAGATGTGGACATCTGATGTAAAGGGGCACTTTAATGGGGACAACTAAGGTAAACGGGCACTCTGATGGGCACACCTAATGTGATGGGGCACCTGACGTATTGGGTCACTCCGATGAGGACATTCTATGTAAGGGGTCACTGTGATGGGGGAACCTTATTTAATGCACTCTGTTATGCACTCTGATGGGAATAACTGATGTAAGGGGGCACTCTGATGGGAATACCTGATGAAAATGGCACTGTGATGGGCACACCTGATGTAAAGGAGCACACTGATGGGCACACCTGATATGATGGGGACAGCTGATGTAAGGAGGCACTCTGATGGGCACACCCTATGTAAGATGTCACTGTGATGGGGGAACCTATAGAAGGTGTCACTGTGATGGGGGAACCTTATATAATGGGGAACTCTAATGGGGACAACTGATGTAAGGGGGCCTGCTGATGCAGAAACCTGATGTAAGTGTGTGCTCTGATGGGGACACCTGATGTAAGGGGACATTCTGATGTCAAAGCCCAAACTTGAGATTCGGACCTTGGCCGGAAGAACATTTTAGTGACCAAACCTCCTTGAATTTTAATTCAATACCCTTGGTCTAGAGATTGCAACTGAAAGCTGTAAAGTGTATCTAAAGTCTTTCTCTTTTATTTTTTTTTTTAGTTTTGGATAGCATGTGCAAGGGCTAGAAAAATTAAGTTTTTACTGCTGTATGTTCCCGCTGGGGAAATTCACCTTCTTTAGTTGCCCTGATAACCACTGTCACTGAGTTTAAAAGTAAAGTTAAAACTAAAAAACAAGAATAAAGGAGAAATCTTCCAGTAGGGACACCTGTTCCAGTGACAACTGTCTAAGAAGGGATTTGCAAGTGCAGGGAAATTGCCCAAATGGAACAGCAAAGAAATAAAAACTGACATACATTTTAACCCTTCCCTATAGTTTAGATCAATGTCAAAGCCCAAATTCAGACAAAAATTATTCAATATGTGTGTAAATAATATAGTACTGTTTCCTCCATTGTCCTCGGGGAAAGTATTTTTTTCTTCTACAGTATTGGTCTGATATCTTCTGCTAAAGCCCTCTTTGAGAAACTTTAACTGCAGAATCTCCTGTGCAGGAGACCAAACACCTGTGCATGCTGTTCATACAACACAGGACTGGTCCCTTCATTGCTCCTGTATAGTTTTTCCATTTATGATGAGGATGCAAGCACATCACCATGATCCCGACTTTTGGCGGAGGTATTATGATTAGAACTGTTCTTCCCGCCTATCTCCACTGTCTAGGCACCAGCTATGAAACAAAACTCCAGGCATATAGATAAATACACTATTTAAATACTGTAATTCAGCATACTCAATCTTGTGATATACAACATACACCTATCCATCAGATTATACAGCTAAATGAAAAATCCTTTGCCACATGTCGCATCACCACAAGCATGTTAACACACTGCACTTTGCATGGTGCTCTTCAGTTCCATTCTTTTAAACTATGATAAAATGCAACTCATTCACCTTGCAGCATGACACAACACATATGCCATGTGTTATGGTGAACTTCATTACAAAAAAGAAAAAAAAATACAGGTCCCATTTTTGTATGCCTTCATGCAATAGTCTATTCAAAATGAGTGGACCAACACATGTTAACATGGACTGCAAAGGTATAAAAGGTCCCTTAAGTATAATAAAGAATTTTGTAAATATGTGAAAATGACACTGACTTGGTTTCTGTATTGTGCTTTTGCTTTAGTTATGTTTGGTCGGTGGTTTGAACATGTGAAAGGATGGCTGACAATGAAGGACAATCCCAATTTCTTGTTATTGTCTTATGACAACATGATAAAGGTAGGTCTTATCTACATAGAAATCCCATTTCTTATCATATGTTAAGAGGTGAAATGCACACTGTACTAAATAGTTTCTGTGTTGTGTGTGGTCTAAAGTTATAACTTGTGATTGTCTAAATCCTGACCCTATTGTGTTTGCAGTATACATAAAGAGGCTGATGACAGTGCACTTTTTAGTTGGCGCACACACCTTTAATTCAGGAATGTAAATAGACAGTGAGATATTAGCAAATTATTTAACTTAAAAAAAAAAGTACAGTTTTTACATTTTTGCTAAATTATTGTATTTGAAAAACAGGCCTTTGCGGTCTGTTCTGCCAATACACTCTTTTATCAAATAAGAGTGTTATAAGAGGTCAAGGTAATGTAGGATCCAGAGTAATACTCTCTTTCTGTAAGGGCGGGATTTCTCATTAAAGCTGAATTCTGGGAAAACTAAATGCAAGTCTTGACACAAGAAGCATGTATCTTCTGGAATCTTGGTGTGCCTTGCATAATTCTTCTATATCTGTGCAGTAATCCAGTGTAAAAGAGATTTTTATCTTGGTACATCCTTAATTGTTTATTATTACACAGTTTTAAAAAGATATTATTAGCATGACTCTCCTACACTCCCCAACTAAACAGTTAATCACAACTGTACGATACAAGAAACCTTTCCCTACTTTTGTGCATATAATGCACATCCAGACTGACTCACCATCATAACCTATCTATCCAGGTTACCGACCCCTATATTAGCCTATTACTCAAACTCACATATATTAACACTTAGTTGCAGATATCCCTTCCCTCATACCCTCCCCCCCACCTCTTCTCCCCTCTCCTACTACCCCCCCCCCCTCGTTTGTGGGTTTTTTTTTTGTCTTTTTCATGACCTTTCATTCTCCTCCTCTCCCCATCCTACCTCCCTATTTCTCTCTATCCATCTATCTGACTTCTTTCTATCTCACTTCTTTAATATTACTTCTTCACATCTATGCCTTCAATGGACTCTAGAATTTAAACTGTCATATAGGTTTGATTAGCTCTTCCTAGACACCAACCCCTTGGGGTAGACACACAATTTTCTAGTGCACTTACCATCCTGTCCTATACCACGACTTCACATTTATCAGTCAAAAGGGCTTATTAGAGGATTGATCAACAGTGCTACCATAAGGATTCGTCCACATCAAATCATGTTTAAGCTGGTTTGGTTTATACCCTTGGTTATACATATATATTTCTTAATGGACGGAGAGATGTCCCAAACCTCTACCCCGTCTGCAAAATGGGCCATTTGCAAACTGTGTCTATGTTCGGACTGTAACCTGTACATGTATCTGTATTAATCTGCCTTAATCCTTTCAATAAAACTATTTTTGAAAAAAAAAAAGATATTATTATACAGGATTTATATAGTGTCAACAGTTTGCTCATCGCTTTACAAAATAAAGGCAGATATTACAGATACAATACAATTTTGTACAAGAGGAATCAAAGGGCCCTGCTTGATAGAACTTACAATCTAAGAGGGAGGGTCAAGTGATACAAAAGGTAATAACTCTGGGGGATGAGCTGATGGAGAAAGTAAAAGCACAGTGTATTAGTTGGAAGCAGGATAGGGGCGTATTCTGGAAATGTTGCAGAGGTTGAGGTTGCATGTTTGGACTGGGATTGGATGTGGGCCTTAAAGGACAGTTCAGATTCCAGGGTTACCCCTAGCATTCTGGCATGCAGGGACGGACTGGTAGTTGTTCCATTGATCTTGACAGAGAAGTCAGGGGAAGGGGCATGTAGAGGGGGTGGAAGTATTATGAGCTCAGTTTTGGATAGATTGAGTTTGAGGAAATGGTGTAACATCCATTCTGATATGTCTGCTAGTAAATCAGTAATATGTGAGGAAACTGATAGGGTGAGCGTAGGGGTAGAAAGATAGCTAGATTTGGATGTCATCAGCATAGAACTGGTTTTGTAAACCATGGGAAGCTGTCAGCTGACCCAGGAAAGAAGTGTAGATCAAGAAAAGGAGAGATCTAAGGACAGAACCTTGGGGAACCCCAATGGTAAGAGGAATAGGAGAAGAGGAAATAGAGTTGTGTGTCACTGAAGGTGCGGTGAGATAGGTAAGATCTAAACCAACGGCGAGTACAGTCACGGAGACCAAGGAAATAGAGTTTTTTCAGAAGGAGGGGGTGGTCGACTGTATCAAAAGTAGCAGAGAGGTCCCAGAGTAAGAGTATGGAAAATTGGTTTTAGCTGGTAGTAAGTCGTTTGATAGTTTTAGAAGAGCAGTTTCTGTGGAGTGCTGCGGGAAAAATCCAGACTTGAGAGGATCAAAAAGGTTACTCTCAATGAGTTGGCAGCTGAGCTGGTTGTAGACCAAGCGTCCAAGGAGTTTGGAGGCAAAAGGGATTAAGCAGATGGGTCTAAGGTTGTTACGATTGATGGGGTCCAGTGAGGCCTTTTTAAGTACAGGGGTGACTACTGCATCTTTTAGAGGGTTGGGGAAGATACCAATCCAAAAGAAGAGATTGAGGATATGAGTTAAAGAGTGTAGGATAGAGACAGAGGGTGACCATAGAATTTGCAAAGGAACAGGGTCCAGGGGGCAAGTAGTTAGGTGGGCGTTAGAAAAAAGTTTAATTACTTCCTCTATAGTAGCTGGGTTAAATGAGGGAAGTATTGATTTGTGTAAGGTGAGGGAGATATCTGTACTGTGATTAGCGATCTCCTGGACAGTGAGTGAGTTAGTGGGTAGAGGTAATGAAGGATGAAGTGGAGAGTTAAAGGTAGAAAAGAATTGATGGGGACTGCGTGAGAGGGTGTTAATGAGATTGATAAAATAGGTCTGTTTGGCAGTGTGGAGGCAAAAATGTTATTTTTGTAGGGCAGGTTTATATAGGTTAAAGCCTTGCTGGGACTTAGTCTTTTTTTTTTTTTGTTGTTTACAAACTATTTTATTAGGAAGGTCACGTTCAAGTACAATCAAACACAAATGTACAAAAATGTCATAAGGTACCGAATACAGAGAAGTCAGAGTTAAACAATATCACCTAAATATCATCCGATTAAAGGACAAAGATATAGCAAAAGCTCAATACATAGATATTGATTGACTCCAGTACAGATTACAATTATAGTACATATACCACTAATAAAGGTAGATATAAAGAAATATTTTGAGACAATTATACAAATAAATATATAAAGTTATGGTGTAGCCCACCTGGTCTATTTTTCTTTAAATATGTGTAAATTATTATATAGTATATGATGTATGTATTCAGATAATTTGATTGATTCCATCCTTGCAAGCACCTGCGACCATGGGACAGAAGGGGAGCGCCAGTTAAATGCTATCCATTGTATGAAGCAACAGAGTAAATGTATTAATCTAGTACAAGGAATGGGTATATCTGGTATTGAGGCAAAAATAGGCCTATTTGCAGAGTTAAGGAAATTGTCTTGCCTGCTATTTGAGATATTTTGGCTGTAGCTTGTAACCACAATGGTCGCAGGAACTTGCAATTCCAGAATATATGAACCAAGGTTCCCTGTTCTTAACAGCCCCTGAAGCAGCAAGGGGAAACCAGAGGATAAAAAGAATGTATCTTAGAAGGGGTCATATACCATCTAGTATGTACCTTAAGAAATGTTTCTCTGACAGATATTGAGCGAGTGTATTTACGTAAGTTATCAATCATGGTGTCTCATTCCTTTATAGAAAAGGAGCAAACTAAATCTGATTCCCATTGTAGCAAAGGGTATGATTTTTTGGAGACAGAGAATTAATTTAAATAGCAGTATATACGAGAAATTAGTACTTTATCTCTAGGAGATGATATAAAATTGTGTTCAAATAGTGAATAAGGAGTTTGAAGAGTTAAAGAGTAGAGGTTTGTTAAAAATTATTTAATTTGTATATATCTTGGAAGGTCCATTATAGGTAAGTTATATTCTGATTGTAATGAGACAAAAGAACTGAACTTATTGTTTCTGGTGAAAAATGTCAGGTTAGTGAGATTATGTTTTTGCCATGACATAAAAGAGACTCTGTCTCTAAAAGCAGGAGATAAATTGGGATCTCCAAGAAATGAGGCTAACGAAGGAGTAGGAGATACCAGATTAAATTTATTTTTATGTCGATGCCACAAATGGTATGAGTTATATTTCAAAAGAGAGCCAAGGAATGTTAGTAGATGGGGCAAACCATTGGGTTAATTGTGTAAATCTTGCCGATAAATAGTATAACCATAGGTTAGGAAGACCTATACTGCCCCTGAGCTGGGATCTGTGCAGGAGAGACATACCATACCTGGGCTTTCTATCTTGCCAAATTAATTTATTAATTTTTCTCTACAGAGAGAAGTTTTTTTAAAGTGGTTTTAGAGACCAATGTTGGTAAAGTTCTAAAGTAAAATAGCAATTTTGGCAAAATAACCATCTTGACAACAACCACTCTCCCGAGAAATGAAATATGGCAAGAAGACCACATTGATAATAACGATTTAATACATATAAAGAGTGATGGATAATTTGTTTGGAAGAGTGATTTGTATAAGGGAAATGCCCAGATAACAAAAAGAATGTGTACACCAAGAAATTGGGAATCTCTCCTGCAGAGAGGCAGACAACAAGGGCAGAAGGTTAATAGACATCGCTGAACATTTGGATAAATTCACACCCAGCCCTGAGAGATTATGAAAAATCTCTGTTGGGGTCCCTCAAGGTTCTGTCCTCGGGCCCCTTCTCCATCTACACCTTGGCCAACTGATACACTCTCATGGCTTCAACTACCATCTCTATGCTGACGACACGCAAATCTATCTCTCTACCCCTCACCTCACCCCTTCAGTCTCCGCCCGTATCACAAGCCTACTGAGCGACATATCGGATTGGATGTCACTCCACTTCCTCAAACTAAATCTTTCCAAAACTGAGCTCCTAGTTTTCCCCCCAGCCCGCGCCCCCCCCCCAACTTCTCCATCAAGACCAACAACACCACCATCAGTC